GCGGGCTACCCGTTCAGCGCCGGGCTGCCCCCGGCTGCCTCTTGCCCGGAGAAGTGCGCCCTGTTCAACAGCGTCTCCTCCAGCCTCTGCAAACAGTGCACGGAGAAGCCTTAAACACCCCCCTGAGAAACATAAGACCGACCCAAAAGCTAGAGGAAAGGGAAACGCTGCCCCCACCCCCTTTATTTCAGTCCTCTGGTAGTTGTGAAACATTTGCAGAGCAAACAAAGCAGAGGCGAGAACTGAGGAGACGTATCAGAGACACACGGGACTTGAGCCTTGACATCCCCAGAATCTCGGTCTTCGGAGTGGGAGGGAGGGAGGAAGGAGGTGGAGTTGAGCTGAAGTATGGATGTCTTTTTTCTCAGAAAAGTGGCAACTTTGGTGGCAGCCTAGGACGCCAGGAAGCAGTTTTGCTTTAAGGTTAAAAATAAGTTTGAAAAGTAGTCGCTTGGGTATAAAGTGTGGAGAGTATTGATACTAATCTTACTAATAATTGTGAATTTGGCTAGTGCTGAGGGGGAGAGGAGTCTGGGGTTGGGTGGCTTGTAGGACGGAATATTCATTCAGACAAATCAGAAAGGGCACTTGAAAATAAATTTTGATTCTGAGCCAGGAGAAAAACATGGAAGGTAGATTTATTTAAGTGAAAAGAAAAAAGGGAGAGACACGTTGCTATGAAAGACTTGTATTTTTTATTGTCTCTGAACTGTGAAAACGCTCAAAAGTTTTTGGCAAGAGTGATATAAAAAAAAAAAACTGTGGCTGAAAGAATTGCATTTAAAAATATTTATGTGCACCTTGTTACTTTCCACTCTGCAATGATGTATTAACCATTCATGGTATTTATTTGTTATTCTTCAATGACCCACATCAACAGTATTTATCATGTGTAAGGTCATGGGTCTTATGTGCAGATTTTTTTAATGCCTCTAAAATTCTGTTTTATAGATTAACTTATACTGTGTGCCAAGTGTTTAAAAGGTTTATTTGCCAACAAGTATGAAGAGACCTATTGATGTATCTGAGCCGCTTAGGTTTATCAAAGGTCACCTGGATTTTTTTCAGTTGCGTCATCCCTGTATTTAAATTGAGCTTTAATAAATTGCTTCAGTCCAAAAATTACAGGAAAGGTGTATTCTTAATTGATGAACGAATTGATCTCTTTTTTTGAAAGGGGACTCCTTTGCATTCTTAAAGGGAAAAACATCACAGCAATAGAACCTATAAGTAAGACCATGCTAAGCAAATATTTTTCCAGGCTGTGCTGTGCATTTTTAAAAGCTCTAATTTAATTGCTTTTAATATATATGTACATATATAAGTTATTTTAATTGTGGAGAATTATTTAAGTTAAAAGACTGGTTTGATTTGCCTATGGTGTGAAATCCTTTGTTATTTTTCTAAGAAAAAATAAAATAAAATTTAAAAACAAAGCTAAGGAAGAGCAAGAAGCTATTTACCCAAAGTGAGCTTTCGGTTTTAGTTTGCATGGCTGTTTGCCTGCCTTCCTATCCTACAAAAATCAAGAAATCCTTTTTTTTTAAAAAAAAATGGAGTCCTGCTATTTTCCACTCCTTGCAGATAATACAAGTTTAGTTTGTCAGGTTATGGCGAGCTGGGAGCTGTGATGGATCTATTGGTGGGTTTTGGATGTATAAAGAATGATATATATTCAATAGGTCAATCAGACTATGACAGCTATGTACAACCATTTGTATGTGTATCTATGTCAGAAAGAATCTTTATTAAAATATTTTGATCAAACATTTTATTATGCTGTGCTTTGTGGGAGGAGCAGTCACCTCTCTTCTGTGTTACTTTTGGCTTGAAAGATAACGTAAAAGAAAGGAGTTTCAGAGAAGTAAAGTTTTGTCAGGGATATACAAAGAGGAGTGACTAGTTCTCTTGTTTACTTGTTCAAAAGATGATGGCTGGGCCTGGTGGTCATTGGGGGAGAGAGCAGTGGGGTCAGTGGTAAGACCCAGGGAAGGTCCAGAGTTTGTTTGCTGGCATAACTTTGAAGGCCATGCTGTCCCTGGACTTCTTTTCCCACTTGGTGGCCTTGTTAACCATGTTAGAACCCATCAAAGATGGTGAAGTTTCTTAAAGAGTTTTGATCAAAATTTCTGTTTCCCTCTTGCCCAAAAGCCAAGGAGAAGGGATGGATTTGAATTCATGGAGGATGACTTTTATTGTGGCTGTGCACATTGTTTTCTGACAGAAGAATCAACCAGGTTGAGTTGTAAGTGTAAACAGTGCCCATAGAGATTTTCAAAGCTTCACAGTGTTGCTTATTAATGAGATATTTAGGGACTCTGTTTGGATAAATTGGGCATTGATTCTATTAAAGAATGTCTGTATAGACTTGGATTTGGGCCTGAATAACACCCACAAATATAGGTTTGATGTTTATTGTGGAGGTTATAGGGACGGTGGTGGCAAAGGTACCGTGCTTCTTTCCTAGGCAGTTTGCTAAACGCATATTTGTCTGTATAGCCTCAGCTCAGAATGATGTTCCTAAATGCCATCAAACTTAGTGGGGGGTGAGGGAGGATATTTTCTGCTCCACTTGCCATCAAAAAGGATTAATCAGAACCTGTAACTTTTCAGAAAACATAACAGCAAAGGGCCTTGAAGCTGAAGCCCTCCCAGTCTGGGAGTGGGGGTAGAGGGAGGGAAGAGACCAGGGCAGCCCCCAGGCTGGAGGAGACCCATCTCTTAGCATTTACCAGACAAAGCCTGGGTGCATCTAATTATGATTATTAAAACAATTTCCATGACGATGTCTAATATTATGTTAATTTGAAAACAACTGTGTATGAAAACTGTCGACTATAATACCTAAATTCATTTAATGAAACACATCGTTAAGGCAATTAAACCTCCTGGATGTGATTAAGAAACATAATTACGACACTGTTCTGCGCCATAATTGGGTGTCTTTAATCAAGGGGTAAAGTGATCAGCAACACAGCCATTAGTTTGTATTGTTCTGGCCCTGCTGTCCATCATTCTGATTAGGAATTAAACACAGCCACCATCAGTCGATTTTTTTTCCTTTTTGCATATTAACATTGTAGGGGACACATTTGCTGCAAGATTTACTGCTTAGCGTTTCTCATTATTAAATAGGCCTCCTTGAAATACTTCCTCTGCAACCTCTGTACTGTTCAACTATTATTACAAATTGTACAAATAATAATTCTTGAGCTTCAGAAGTTCACCCTTTAACAACTCAATCTCCACTTTTCGTCCTTAAATAGACTTGAAATGGATAGGGATGGAGGAAAAAAGAGGATGTTGGGAATAAGTCAAAATGTCAGAGGAATATGTGCAATTATTAAAAGCAGTTTAATAACATTTCTTTTTATTTTGATAAATTCAAACCAATCATTTCTCTTTCCAAATCCAGAAGTTGACCAGCATGTTGTTCTAGGGATGAACGTGAGATACCTGAAAGGAACTGGGAAGGGGGTTTTGGTGATTTACTTAGGTGGCCTTTTCTGCCCTAATCCCAACCTTTCCAAAGTTTCTTCAGCAGCAGCTTTTAGAGAAGGTCACTGAGCGTTGGAGAGAGAATTCTTCCCCCACCGGTCGGGCCAAACCCCGGTGGCTTTTCTTCTGAGGGTTGAATCCTGAATTTGGCCCAATCTGGGAAGTTAGACCACACATTTGTGGGCCCCAGAGGTCCTTCCAGTTTGGAGTATCCAGTTGGGAACTTGGTGAGTGAGCAAGGGGGAGGGGGTGGGGCGGGGGAGGCAGGGAGGTCTTGCCTAAGTGCCCATGGAACAGGGCAGACAGGCTGGCCTGGCCCCTAAGACTGGCTTACTCCAGGGCCAGTGAGCCTTGGCCGCCCTGAGCCCCTCCGACACCCAGGAGCCTTGGGGTGCTTCTCCAGGCGCATCGCGGGTGGATCCCGCTGCTGCTCTGGTGTCTTAGGAATTGAGAGTGGGCAGATGAGGCCAAACGCGGACCCAGAATCCCACTTGGCCTTTATTCCACCTGTTTCCTTTTCCAATTACTCTCTAATTTCAATTTCCTTCTCTAATTCTAATTCCCTCTTAGGTTTCACCTCCAGTTTGACACTGGGCACAGACAGAAGCGCGGGGGCTTTTCTCGGACTCCTACAGGACCAGCAAATGATCATCTTTGAAGAACTCGCCTGCCGGGTGTGTGTGGGTGTGTGTGTGTGTGTGTGTGTGTGTGTGCGCGCGCTCGTAGTGCGCACTCCACCCCGCAGCTGGGCATCCCCTCCAAGACCTTGTATTGAGCTAAATTCGTCTCCCTTCTACCGGACTCATCTCCCCTCTTTACCGCTAACAGCTCACTGGGGTGGAGGGAGGGCTAGTCTCACGGGCTTCCCTTCTCTAGGCCCTCTTGGTCTCGGACGCCTGAACCGAACCTTTCTGCGCGCCCTGGACCTTGAGATCGTTCCAGCATGAGTGGCATTGACTTCTCCAATGTAATGACTTATGAAAGATATAATCATGTGTTAAATTGAATCCTCCGTTTAACTGTTAATGGTGTGCTCTGGGCACATTTGCGTATTAGATGCTATGGTAACTAATTACCACTAGGAAAAAAGGGCAACACACTTCCCCAGACTTTGAAAAATAATGATGAGAGTTCACTTCCCGGCTCGCAGCGCACTGTGGCGGCCGCAGCCTGCGAGTGGAGACCCGAACGTGTGGCGGGAGGTAATGAATCCTGGTCAGGCGAGGATCCTTAGTAAAAGTTTTAATGAAATGTGGGTTGGGTGAGGAGGGCTGTCAACTACACGATGGCGCCTCTAAACAAAATTAAATGGCAAAAGATGAACATCAGAAACATCATAAGTTTTCTTTTAATTAAAATGTGGGTCAGACTAAATTATCCACGTGCCAAGCAACTTTACATCAATTAACATTTTTTTGTTGTGTGAGCAAAATAAATGAGCCCGTTTCCTGCGCGCTCTGTGTTGGCATTTATAACTCGGAGGCCCCTTGATCGCCAAGCCAAGGAGCTGCAGGTTGCTTTAAATTTGGCCTTTTTATATCAGACTTTGGGCACCGTAGACGGTAGGGGAACAGGAGGGAAAACGAGGAGACAGTAACTTAGTTTAAGAGGAAAAGCAACTCTCCAGTGAAGAGTCTTTCTCTCCCCGCGGGATCTCTGGCTCTTCCGAGCGATTGGTAACGTGTTTACTAGAACCAGGGTTCTGTGCGGAGGACCGGTTGTCTGCATCGCCCCCGGGCCAGTGTTGGTGCTGGGACCTGGGAAGGCAGGGAGCGGGATGCTATTCCTGCAGCTCAGCCAGCCCAAGTTTGCAGACAGAACGACGCCCTCAATCAGCGCGCCCACAGCGCTGCTCAGTTCGCGCTGCGCCTCGGGAGGGACTCGGGATCCGCACCCGCAAAGCGCCCCTGGACTGGCCTTCCGGGTCCCTCCTGCGGGTGCAAAGCCATCCAACCTCCAAGTTCATAGGGACAAAAAGCGAATTTAAGGGACTCTGCGTCAAACTCTTTCGAGAGGTGGCACTAGGATCGGGTTGTCCCCGGCACCCCCGCGGCCTGGTGGGCTCACGTGCAAATGCCAGGCTTGTCAAGATCACCCCGCAGCCGCGCCACAACCAGGAATGCTACAAAAGCGCCCCAGTTTTATCCCCCAAGGACCCCTTTGCTTTCAGGGAAACTCTTTGCTGGCTTTCTGATTTGGGTTAAATTCTACCACTTTTTCTAGATGACTGGTTTTAACACCGTCAGGAGCCTTCTGGACCATTGCGAAATGAGTACCCCTGAGTGCCTGTGCCTTCGCGCCTGGACTTTTCTCCCCTTCCCTTCCTCTGTGTTCTCTAATTTGGGCAATACACAAATTCAGATTAGAAAGCTCCGGAAGAGAAACGACTGTGCTGGGAAGGTTAGACTGCAAGGGAAAGGAGGATTTGGCAGTTAACTTCACCATGCCTCTCTTCTCCCCCCCTCCCCCCCATAGGATGGACAAACCTATCTTACAAGTCCCCAGGATGCTTTGAGGGGGAAGTTGGCTTTAATTATGCACACTGTGCTATCATTCTCCTTCCCAGTTGGGGAAAGAGTTAATTCTTTCCCAAAGACCATAGTTGCCCTTGTCTTCTCAACCTGATTCAGAGATGCAATAAAATATGAAGCAAATTTATGATCTGTTTCAAGCATTTTATTGCTGTATTTTTAAATTCATATATGCACATATAAGAACTATGATCTGTGAATAATTTGAAATGCTATAGTAGAATGATACATTTTAGATAAAACATAACCATATCTTTATATAATTGTCTCAGATTAAAATAAAAAAGAAAAATAGATTTCTAATGTGGACCAAACTGAAAAACTAATGACTGCCATAAACTGCTAACCAACCATAAATTAACATCTTCATCAAATGCTAAAATGGTATCAGTGGTTATATAAAGCAATTATTATTTCTCCTTATAAGTTTTAGAATAAAGTTCAGGGATATTTAAAGGATCCATTATTTACAAATGCTTGGCAATCTTAAAAGATTTCATATTTTATTAGGAGGATGGTTGCAACTCAAATCTGCTAGGTTAATAGAGATGTTTAGAGATGAGAATTTACATTTAAACATTAAAGTGCTTCATAGCCTAACCTCATTTTATGTATTTATCTGCTCTGGCAATTACTGAAGAACTTGGTATAAGGATTTCTTTGTTAAATATCCTTTATCTACTCTTTGAAAAGAGAAGACAAATAATCACTTATTATGGGAGAGCCTCAGATTATGTACTGTCTCTTTAAGTAAGTATAGCTACATCTGCCAGGTACAGTCTCTCTGCAGAGGTATGTTCAAAATTCAGGTGCCAGGATGAGCCTGTGGCCTCCACCGGAGACTTCCTAGCCAGGCCTCCACAGAACATGAAGAGCCATGGAGGAGAAAAGGAAGCAGGGTCAGGGAATAACCCATTTTTTTTTTTTTGGAGAAACATCAGACATACATATCTTTAAAGTGTAGATTTCTCAAGAGAGTGAAATTAAGTAAAATCTGGAATTACTCAACAAAGTAAGCTATTTTTTTTTAACATTTAGGAAAAATTTTAATGAAAACAAGACACTTCATTGACATATGGAGGATCTGAGTGGCATACAAAGTCGAATTATTTCCGCTGTTCCACTGCTCTGCACAGTATGTTTCCCTAGAGGGTAGTAGTTGTGGATGACCATCCACCAAAGGTCAAAGGTGAACTAAGATCTTCACAGGCAAAGTCCTAGGACCACTCTTTAGTTTAACTTTTTGCAAGCATTGTTTAGTATGAGGACTTCCTTCTTTAAAAATAAGTACTATTTTACAGCTTTTCTGTAAGCTAGATTTGGTTCAAAAGAGGACATTTAAAAAACTGAATACCTAATTTCAAAACACAAAGGAAATACTCCTTTTTGTAAACTTTTAGATTCATAGAAAATTCAAAAGTGATTTCAAATACTTAAAAAAATTTTCATTTAAAGTATAAAGCAAAGCATTTACAAAACTTTAAGTATATTGGCCAGTTTTTAAAAGTTGTGGAATAAAAGTACATTTCATTTAAGCATTAAATATACAAAGCATTTATGTGGGTTTTCATGTAATAATTACATATATTTTATATTAACAATAGCTATTTCTTAGAAACAAAAGTAATATGGAGTAAATATTCTTTTGCAAACAAAAAATCTCCAACTAATACACACTTTATATTTTTAAGTGTTTAAATTTGACTCAGTGATAAATCATTAGATATTAGTACCTTTATTTGTTACTCACATTCCCTCTAGTTTCTCCTATAAGCACAAAATGTTGTAAGGGAAATAAAATGCTATCTCAACATTTACTTTCTGTGTAGTCTGCAATATATCATGCTCTCCTTATAAAAATGATTATAGTTAGAAACTGAGAACATAAACTATGCCTCAAATAATTAACAGTAAACTGTATCAAACTTAAAATTATCCAGCATGACCATGGTGTATTTCCTCTATCCAGCTGCACCTTGAGTAGAAAATGCACATTTCTACTTACATGATCATGGTTAAATCCATAGAGAATTCTCCAAAATTTTTGTTTACTCAATAAATGCTTTTTAGAGTAAAACTGAAAACAAAAATAATTATTCCATAGACTCTTCATTTAAGGACACAATTTACCCTGATCATTAAACAATACTGCACTGACTAGTTCAAATGCACACAAACACTTTCTGCGTCTAAGGCAAATTCCCTTAAAACAATGACTCACAGGGGTGTTTATTGGAAAAGCCAAGTATCCCAGTGAAATTCTGTATGGCCAGTAACTGAAGGAGCCACATTTCATTTTTCATCAACAGCATTCTGTACAATATGCTTTTATACAGTTTGAATTTTAGCTTTATGAATAAATAGAATACTGCCCAAATATTGTTGTTTTATTCATTATTTGTGGTAAAGTGATCTGCAGAAGACAAAGACCACATCTAATAGAAATCTCTCTCCCTTTTCTTGTTCTTACATATGTCTCCACAGAATAATAACAATTATGAAGAATTGTAGCCTAGCAAGGTCAGCCAGGTTAAAAGAAACGTATTAAAAAGTTTACTATGGCCCTGGCTGGGTAGCTCAGTGGATAGAGCGTCGGCCTGCGGACTCAAAGGTCCCAGGTTCGATTCCGGTCAGGGGCATGTACCTTGGTTGCGGGCACATCCCCAGTGGGGGATGTGCAGGAGGCAGCTGATCGATGTTTCTCTCTCATTGATGTTTCTAACTCTCTATCCCTCTCCCTTCCTCTCTGTAAAAAATCAGTAAGATATATATATTTTTAAAAAGTTTACTATGGCCCTGGCTAGGTAGCTCAGTTGGGTAGAGCATCATCCCCGTATGCCAATGCTGCGGGTTCATCCCTGGTCAGGACACATGCAAAGCAACCAATGAATGTAAAAATAAGTGGAAGAACAAATTGATGTTTCTCTCTCTCTCTCTCTCTCTCTCTCTCTCTCTCCTTTCTCTGAAATCAGTCAATAAAATATTTAAAAATAAAAAAGCTTATTAGTCACTGATATTTCTTGGATCTATGTTTATTTCCCACATAAATAAATAAGCTAAAATATATTGGAAAAATACTGAGTATAACAATTAATATTCTTTTAAGGAGAGTATCAGGAAATAAAAACATACGTATATATGTATGTGTGGAGGGGATGAGGATGTAGGGCTATTCTGACAGCAAAATTATTTCCCAAATAATTTGTCACTTGTAATCAGGTCTAACATGTTCCTAATAGGGAAATAAGAAGACATGGTCATTCGTCTGTGCTTTAAAAATTGATTTATTGAATTCCTGTTGTAAAGCATTTTTCTTACCTACAATCTTAAGATAGTACGCTTTCTCATAAATCCACATATGTACCATTTTAAAATCAAAAGATAATATTAAACAAATGATTCGGGACAACAGTTTTTTTAATATACAGCATTCCTCTGCCTAAAAATATATTTTTAAATATAAGTATTGCCAAATTATCTCCTATTTAAAATTATGTAGTAGAGCTTTTCATGAATTAAATTTATCTTACTCAAGAAGGTATTATAAATAGAATAAACACTTAAAGCTAAAAAGTTCAAACATCAATGATCATTGATTTAGATGAACACTATGAAGTAGAATAAGTAATAATTGCTTTAGAGAAATACCAGAGAGTTTTATGTAATCGCTCATTATAATTTAAAATAATGCTACAGGGAATGTAATCTTGGCTTGCTTACTTTTTCTTAATTGAGAATGCGAATATGAAAACCTAATAATGCAGTTCAAGTAAATAATCGTTTGCAACAATGGCGAATTTAATAGATTAAAACAGTGCACATTTTACTGGCATGTAATTCTTATTTTATAATTATTGACATTATTTTACACTAAGATCAAAACCTAGATAATTTTTAGCTTTAATCTTGGAAAATGGTTTTAATATTCCACTGTTACATTAGGAGATGGGTATAGGAAAAGGTGCCCAAATGATTTTTTATGAGAAAATAAGCAGAAGTAATCATGTAGATTTTGAGTTGGGAAGCTCTGTTGCCTTAGACTCGTGACCCAAAACTTAATGATGAAATGGAGAAGATATAATGAAGTCAGTCAGAAAAACCAAAACAAGGCAGATAAAAGTTCCCATGTGGGTTGCTTATGGCATGCCTTATTTAGCGATAAATAGTTTTCATCTTAATACCTTCAGAGCATTTAGTTTTTGCTGAGTGCATCACTACTGGTGGTCATTGATACAAATCAACATCTTTACTTATTTGTTTCCTTTCATTTGAAACTTAGGGGAGACTTACAAATGAAAATATGGTTTTTTTTCTAATATGTAAAATACAGTTTGAAAAAATTCTGAAGCCTCAATGACTGTGTTTGGTTTTGGTTATTTTTGCCATACAATCTTAATAACTGATATGTATGTTTTAATGTGTGTGATTACGTACAGAGTAATTTCTCACTATAAAACATTACTGTGGAATTAATGATGGAAGATTGGTTAGAGCAAGTGATAAAACAGAATTTTAGAATAGTTTTTAAAAAGATGAATTTATTATTTACAACTACATTTACAATAAATTAGTTGTGAGTACATTGCTTTCCCTAATATATTGTATGTTCTTGAGGAAAGGTAACCTAGGGCATCACATCATATCTAGAACAGAGGAAATGCTCAATGAATGTTTGATCAAATAAATGAATAATGCGTTAACTAATGACAAAACTTATTCCCTTTTACAAATACATACAAGTAGTTTTTAAAAGGCACAACATTGTTAAAGTATCTCCTTTACAAGTTTACATTTGTATATTGCATTTCACTTTTCAAAATATGTTTACACACCTTCCTACTGTATTTAATCCTCACAATGAACCCTGATGTCGAAAGGCCTTATTATTTTTATTTTGAAAATAAGGAAATGAAACATGGAGAAGCAAAGTGACTTGTTGATCATAACAAACCAGTTATGTCACAGCTTGAATCCATGTCTTTTAACTTATTTCACCATGGCATTTTTTTCTATTCATAAATGCTATTTAATTACTAGATTTAAGCCCGTCATAGGACTCTCTTGTTTTGGTTCTCCTGTCCATTGATTTTGCATAATATTTCCTCAGCCATTTAATTTATTCTTTTTTTCATTTAATGTATTCTTATTTTCTATTCTAAATCCCTGCACATAAATTAAAATGGAATAATTTTCTGCATTTTCTCTGCTGTAACATCACAGAAGTATACTATTAAGATGAATTTAAGAATCTGAAGGTTTCCATGTCAGGTAATATGGTGGACTAGCTGTCTTAGTACAAAATGAATGGGCCATGCTTTGTGGCAGGCAGGAGATAAAGCCCAGGGCTTGAGTTGCGTGTATGTGCGCACACGCTATGGAGGTTGAGGACAGGATTTGCAGTAACTCAGGGTGGAAGGTGGCTGGGCATAGCAATGGTAAGAAAAGTGAGGGTAGTTTAAGATTGGGCTTTGGCCTCTACTTCAAAGTAACAGAAGTAGAGTTTACCAACAGTTTCCTGGGTAAATAGATCATTAAAACATGATGGATACACATTATGGAATATTGAATTAAGAAGGATCTGGTTTATAGAAAATACATTTGTGTAAATCAAAAACATTCACCCAAAATAATAATATATGTGCTATAAAAAGATAAACATTAAACACTTTAGATATTGGCCTCTGACGGGAAGGGTATGATGGTGGAGGTTAGGGATAAAATATAATAAGTAAATAAAGCCAGAGGAGCCTTGCTTGGACTAATTATAATTATGCACCATGAACTAATGGGTATAAGGACTATGATTATTCAATCCTATAAACCTGAGGTTAAAGTAAAAAGAAGGAAGAAATAAACTCAACAGATGTGTTAAAGAGCAGATTCTATATATTGTACACAGAAAAAGCTAGAAGATCTAAAGAAATTACCTAGTATGTAAATAAGAAATATAAAATATGGGAGAAAAGGTCAAACAACATTGAGTATAGAGTGAGAGAATCTAATGGAGAGCTGGAAAGAGTAATATTCAAAGAGATAATGGCTGAGACTATCTCATTCTTGATGAAAGACACACATTCTCAGTCTCAAGAATCACAAGCATGATAAATAGAAACTACAAACATTGAAGACAAAGAGAACATGTTAAAGCTGTCAGAGAGAAAGGGCAGACTTCTACTGGATAATTAAACTGACTAAAGGCTATAACCTCTTGAAAAAAATGGAAGCCTTAGGAACATGCAATATCTTCAAAGTATTGCAAGGAAATGATTCTCACCTAGATGTGTGCATGTAGTAAAATCATGTTTCTAGAATGAGGGAAAAACAAAAACATCTTCAACCAAGCAAAAGCAGAGATTAGACTAGAGGACCTTCAGCATGTATTTCAGGAAGGAGAAAATAAATGCTAGAAAATCTATTTGCTTATTAAGTATAGTAAGTACTATATAATGTTAGAAGTTATCATTAATGCAATATGAATTACCTGGGTTTTATTACCTGTTTTGCCTCTTTAGATAGAGCATCATCATTTTATGTCAGATGCCAGACAATCAATCACTTGGTAATCTGATACGAGAAATCTTTGAATCATGGACACAATGCTGCATTTGGCATATAAAATTTTATTTTATTACCTAATGTTGTAATTCAAAATAAAACAAATAAACTCCAAGTCCAAAAGGTGAGGTGTCAAGAACAAATACTGCTATCTAGTTTCTGTTTATATAAATAGAAGCATTTAGGAAAGACTAAATTGCAATACTGGCATAATCTTATGGTTTCTACTAAAGCCAAATGCTACAATCAATCCTGTAATGATTTCAACATTTGTTTCTGCAATAAACCAATACTAATGTCTAGAGCAATTGCTGAATATATAATAGGTTTTGTGTGTTCTTATACATTAAATCTTATCAGATCTAACTTGTACATGAGTGGTCTTATATCAGAATAAATTTTGTTCTATTGAGCTATAGTATACAAGTAATAAAGAGCATTTATGGGTGATTAAATATTGAAGTTGAAGTATTTAATCTACTGCACAACTCATGTAATGAAAACATACCCTGGTGATATAGATATTATTGATATTATACCTGAAGGGAATATTTTCATTCAGTCTATCTCCTGGAAATTTAATTTCCTTCTCTGCGAATTTGGAAGTTGTTAGACTGTTCATTTCCAGCACAAATTTCCAGTAGTATATAAAGTGTGTATTTACATATTAGAGAAGAATTTAGGTGACTTTTAAAAATCCCACAGTGCTAAATTTATTGCCATTTATTTACTATCATATGTGAAAAATCACAGTATGTAGAAACTTAAAAACACTATTTTTAGTTTATTATGATGTTAATTTTGATGTCCAGTTTCACAACACCACCCTGTTTTATTTTATGAACAAGTACACGCTGGACTGATCTCAGATCAAATAAAAGTTAGCACTTTGTAAAACAATAGAAGCAAAGCAATTACATTTGCAGAAATTAAAAACAAATTGATGAGCTGATGGTTTAGGTTGGTTTTGATAGATTTCTTTTCTTTCCTTTTAGCTTCTTTGAGATTTGACTTTGTACCTAAATAAAACATCAGAATCTGGGTACTGAATGCCAATCAAAAAGCGGCCATAGTCTAGTTGTACAGGTTTATCATCCATTATTTCTAAATCAAAATTAGTTAAAAGTACAACTAACAATTGCTTTATTTCATTGATTGCCAAAAATCGGCCTGGGCATTTGCTGGCTCCCATTCCAAATGGCAGTATGTAATGCTTCAGCCTTTTGCCTCCTTTGAAAAAGTTGGTTTTCTTCTTACCATTTTCTACAAAACGGTCAAATCTATACTCCTGTGAAGAAGAAGTGGAGAGTGTTACAATAAAAAAATGTACACGAAATAGTGTGAGTTCATGTCCACAAAATTGCCAGCTCCCCCTGCTTATCTTAAAAGCCTTCTTTTAAGAAAACAAAACTAAGAGCAAATCATGTATGAACTTTCAGAAAAACTCAAATTCTACTAAGAAGTTATTTTTCCCATATAGAGTAAAATCCAAATACCTATATGACTTTCCTTCCCAGCTCACATTTCTCTCCTATGCTGAGTTTCCTAAGAGGCACTATGTCTATTTTTGTCGTGTAAGGTGGGTCCTGACTCACGGGCACTTGATAAACCAATGTTGGTAGACGGTCAGGGCTCTGGCACTGTCACCATTGTTACTGGAATAATGAATAGGAGCTACTAACTAAGGATCTAGAATATGCTGTTTTTCCCACCCATGCCCAGTCAGCTACTAGTGGATGAGAACTATGAACTTAGGATTCAATGCTTATGTTTGGATTCAATAGATATAAAATAATGAAATTCACATAAAGCACTAGAGAGGAGCTAAGCCACAAAATCAGTCTTGTTTTTTGATGTTGTACTGAATTTCTCCTGTGACAGTTCTATTAGAATGAACTCTCTTTGGGGTAACTCTAGGATGGCAGGTGTTGTTGGTATGTTTTCATAAATAAGTTATATTACTTGTCACAGAAAATGATGGGAATGGTTCATCTCCGTGTTTGGCCCACCATCTTAATTTACTCGCACTTGAGTTTGCAAGAGGAGACGGAGTGACCTTATTTCGGCCCATGGTGAATTAAACCATTGATTAAATTAACACGTGGCATGCATGAAAATGACCACATTTTTTCCTGTGCTTGGTGCTCATTAGCATTAGACCTGCTCAGCACACAACTTTGATATGAACTACGTGAAATCAAAGGCAAAGAAGCAGGTCAGATGGAAAGCATCTCAGGTTATAGAGAAGACCCTACAATACCTGGGTAGATTCTGAATTCATCACAAACCACCTAACTGTCTCACTCCATGCCAGTATTAATGTCAGTGAAATCCTTTCCTTTAAAAGTACTGAATTTATCCTCATTTATCTAGGATATATATTTTGATAAATAGTCAAGCTTAGAAAACACACTTTGGGTAGCTTCTATTTCCCTCTAACTTATAAGTTGATGGAATCAAATGGCAAAATTAATCTGCAGTAGAACACAAGTGTATTTTCCCACAGAGAAATTTCTGGGGTGTATCTGAATAGAATCTAATCAGTTCGAAATAAAAATCTCGCTTCATCCCTAGGAATAAGGACAGTCTTTGTTGACATCTATTTTGTTCCAGGAGATAGAGTTACTATATGGCACTCTTTCCGGGTGACCTTTTTCCATTACTGTGGCCCGGGCCTGCTTGCCCAAGTTCAGTACTGCTGCTTCCTGACCAATCTGAGGAGACCAGCACTCTCCCTGAGATCTCCTGGCCTCGGCCAAATAGTTTACATTAATTTTGCCATGAAATGATTTGTTAGAAATAGACTTACTGGAGTCCCAATGTTTAATCCAGAAAATACAAAAGGAAAACTTAGCTTAGGTTATGACTTCACAATGTCCTGGTGTCATAAGTAAGCCAGAAACTGTCATGGCTTTCCTGTTCTTCTCTGTGAAATGGATTATGCAGTCCTCTGAGAGGCCATGGTGATCGACACATAATGGTCCCCTACCCCTGTGACCTTAGCTAGTGTTTATATTCAGTTCCCTCAAATTTCTAGTCAATCAGTAATGTCACTCCTCTAATTTTCCACCATATCCTATTCAATTTCTTCATACTAAACATCATAGAAATTCCTATTTAGTTGGATATATTATGAAACAAGAAGGGAAAAGGCCAACTTCTTTTGCTGAGACTATAATCAAGGTCAAAGGGCACATAGGCATAAATATATATACATATATATTTTAAAATATATTTTATTGATTTTTTACAGAGAGGAAGGGAGAGGGATAGAGAGTTAGAAACATCGATGAGAGAGAAACATCGATGAGAGAGAAACATCAATCAGCTGCCTCCTACACACTCCCTTCTGGGGATGTGCCCGCAACCAAGGTACATGCCCTACTTAGCTTAGGTTATGACTTCACAATGTCCTGGTGTCATAAGTAAGCCAGAAACTGTCATGGCTTTCCTGTTCTTCTCTGTGAAATGGATTATGCAGTCCTCTGAGAGGCCATGGTGATCGACACATAATGGTCCCCTACCCCTGTGACCTTAGCTAGTGTTTATATTCAGTTCCCTCAAATTTCTAGTCAATCAGTAATGTCACTCCTCTAATTTTCCACCATATCCTATTCAATTTCTTCATACTAAACATCATAGAAATTCCTATTTAGTTGGATATATTATGAAACAAGAAGGGAAAAGGCCAACTTCTTTTGCTGAGACTATAATCAAGGTCAAAGGGCACATAGGCATAAATATATATACATATATATTTTAAAATATATTTTATTGATTTTTTACAGAGAGGAAGGGAGAGGGATAGAGAGTTAGAAACATCGATGAGAGAGAAACATCGATGAGAGAGAAACATCAATCAGCTGCCTCCTACACACTCCCTACTGGGGATGTGCCTGCAACCAAGGTACATGCCCTTGACGGGAATCGAACCTGGGACCCTTGAGTCCGCAAGCCGATGCTCTATTCACTGAGCAAAACCGGCTAGGGCCATAAATATATTTTTGAGTGGAAAATTTATTTTCAGTTTGTTTTCTTTACATGGCCAGGGCATGGAGAACCAGAGCAGAACGTAAATATTAGGAAGAGCTTGTGGCCCAGCCGGCATGGCTCAGTGGTTGAGCGTCGACCTATGAACCAGGAGATTGTGGTTAGATTCTTGGTCAGGGCACATGCCTGGGACTCGGGCTCGATCCCCACCAATCAATGATTCTCTCTCATCATTGATGTTCCTATCTCTCTCTCCCTCCCTCTCAGAAATCAATAAAAATATTTAAAAAGACTTTTTAAAAAGGAAGGGCTTTTGATTAATGTTGACTTAAACTCTTATAGCCATAATAACTTAGTGCTTCATAATTAAAGCGGGTCAATTAAATGCAATATCATTAAGTGGATAAGAACAGAGAATTTTAAAAATATATTTTATTGATTTTTTACAGAGAGGAAGGGTGAGGGATAGAAAGTTAGAAACATCGATGAGAGAGAAACATCTATCAGCTGCCTCCTGCACACCCCCTACTGGGTATGCGCCCGCAACCAAGGTACATGCCCTTGACCGGAATCGAACCTGGGACCCTTGAGTTCACAGGCCGACGCTCTATCCACTGAGCCAAACCAGTTAGGGCATAACAGAGAAATTTTTAAGAGAAAAGGTAAGACACTGAAATTTCCCATTGCTCCTCTAATGATTGCTGTGGATGACTCCTCAACATCTTCCTTCTGCATGAGATTCGGGGTGTGTGTGTGTGCGTGTGTGTGTGTGTGTTTTCATTTGTTTCTAGGCTCCAATGATGGTATTCACATCATTTCAGCCTCTGACTGATTTAGGAGAGGGTGTGTGAGCCAATCTCATCAGTGCTACAGGAGAAAAGTCTGTGGGGACTTCTCCCAGATGTCTTCTTGTGAAGAAAGAAAAACAAAGAAAGAAAGAAACAAACAAAAATAGTTCATCACCCTTTCTCTTCTGGACCTTGTTATATATGAATATGATGACTGCAACTGCTGTGGCTTTCTTGCCACCAGGCAGAAGACAGAGCTAACCCACAGAAAATGGCAGAGCCAAGAAATCCCAGGAGATTGTAGTAGTCACACTGTCTTATTTATCTCTGTATTTTTTAAGCACCCAGCTGGGTGCTATGCACATAGTAGAGGTTCCATATTTGTTTCTTGACAAGGAAGGGCATTCAGAAAACAGGAAGATATGTGATTCAGGAAAGCCATGGCCTGTTATGTAATGTAATATTCTAGGGTCTCTTAAGCTTGAACATCCTGAAACCATGCCTATGTTCTGCTAAGGCTCTTCCGTGTCTATGTGCTCCAAGAATAACTATACTTATATCTGAAGTTAGTCTTCCTCATATTTTTGACCCAATAGCTATTGTCTGTTTTCTATATCTAAGGCCTGGTCTTCCCATTCATGATATGTAGTACACAAAAGACAGGACATGGGGAATGTGGGCCTCTGCTGAGCTCCTGGGCCAGGGCTCTTAGTGACAAATGGTCAAGAACAGATTTGCCTTCTTGACTGTCAGTGCATTGTTGTTTTTGGATGGGCGTGTGTTATATAAACATCTACAGTGTCTTATTGCCACCCTAAGTTGTTAAGAACAAAATGAATCAATTTATATGCCCACTAGTGGTAAATTCTCAGTAAATGTTTATAGAATGATTACATAGGACCTTGCCAAGTCATAAAAATGGCTCTGAACTATAATTATTACCATTCCACAACTAATTTCGAGAAAACAATAACATGACAGAGAATTTGCTAGTTAATTTTAATATTAGTCAGGTACAATAGACTAATGTTAAGTTTAGTAAATAATAGAGCGCTCATCAACTTAAGTTAGAGCTACCCCAGTGATGCTAAATCAGTAGTCACAATATTGCAATTTCACTCTTCCACAGGTTTAGTATGAGGCCAACCCTTCCAATTACTATTAAGATTAGTCATTGTCTTATGTAAAGTTTGGGCACTTCTATTTAGGAATGTGCTTGCAGCATATAAAAATACCAGAATAGAAATATAAATCAGCACACTTTCAGTATTTAACTTTGATTTAAAAATCCCTAAAAGTCTAATTCATGGCCTAATTTTATCACTAGGGTAGGGTTAGGAGTGGAGGATCAGAAGAACTCAAAGAACAGTACCATAAAAACAGTGGTGATTTGGCAAACATTTATTGAGTATTTACTGGTAACTTTTTTTTAATTTTTAAAAATTTATTTCAGAGGGAGACAGAAACATCAATGATGAGAGAGAATCATTGATCAGTGCCTTCTGCAGACCTCTCACTAGGGATTAAGCCGGCAACCTGGGCATGTACCCTGAACAGGAATTGAACTGTGACCTCCTGGTTCATAGGTTGATGCTTAACCACTGAGAAACACCGTCCTGGCTGCGCTTTACTAGTAATGTTGATTTTACTATTATGACATGAATGGCAAACTTAATAACTATTGGAATAATCATATAATGAAAATGATAATGTTAAATATATTAAAAATTGCAGCCCTAGCCGGTTTGGCTCAGTGGACAGAGCATTGGCCTGCAGACTAAGGGGTCCCGGGTTCGATTCTCGTCAAGGGCACATGCCTGGGTTGCAGGCTCGATCCACAGTAGGGTGCTTGCAGGAGGCAGTCAATCAATGATTCTCTCTCATCATTAATATTCTCATCTCTCTCTCCCTCTCCCTTCCTCTCTGAAGTCAATAAAAATATATTTTAAAAAATTACAGCTAGAAATAAAGCTATTTAAAATTTTTAAATATTTTTCAAATATTATTTATTTGCCCTATTTACTGACTATCTATTTGTGGGTGAAAAATTTTGATATTAACAAATGTGGAAATAAACCTTATTGTCTGGGGAATGTTCATTCACTCACTAATACCTTACTTCTGACTTACTATCATCATTCATTTAATGTCCCTTCTGAAACACATAGAAACCATATGTACATTCTCCCTCGCCTAAAATTTTTGCCTAAAATCAATGCAAATTATCTCATTGTATTTGAGGTTGTCCTCTTCTTATTAGTTTCCAAAATTCAACAAATATTTTAATCCAGCCTGGCTGTATGACATCTCACTTAGAAACTGGGTTTAAAAGTGGTTCCGCTTTTGAACTGCTCCAAAAGAGAACAGAGGTTTCCCTTTAAAAATGGCATTTCACATACAAAAACCACTGCAGCAACAGCATTACTTCATGATTCGCACAGGCAGAATGTGAGTGCATTCAATTTGCATGCAGGTGGTGAACCTCTGAAGTGGTATTAAGGGATGAGCCAGGGTGGATTAATTTCCAGTCTTTGATATTCATTAACTCCAGCTTTGGGGGGAAAAAATACAAGGAGATGACACAATTACCCTCAGAGCTTCATCCGTGAGCAGCAGCTTTACAATCTCAAGTTCATAATGCCATCCTAATTGATCAAGAAGGGGCACATATCTTTAATAAGAGGTGAAAATGTATATTGGCTTAACCATGACTATGATGGTATTTAACTTTGGGATATCAACCCCATTCTGGAAACACTTAGCAAAATCTAAGTGTCATCATTATTTATTCTCTCAGCCGCCTGTCAATAGCTTGCCCTTTCAACAATTCTCTGCCAAGGAAACCTAATTATGCCCTAAAGGTAATGATGGCCAAGGTACAGTGGCCATTTCATTTGATGAAACTAGCACTAAGTCTCATCACTCTATTCCGATTTATAGGTCACGGAAACTTTGAAAGAGAAATCCTTAGCAAACAGTTCAGTAAACAGGAACATTTTCCTATTGGAGGAAAAACAGAAATCATCAAACTCTCTCAAATGCCACCTGGAACATGGGGGTGAAAGGGAGAGATAGAAAGAGCTCAAGAGGAAGAGGAATGTGCCTGCAGCATAGAAGAAGTAGCAATGGCCAGCTCGATGACTATTTACCTCTGGAGCTTCAAAGATTTCAGGGTCGTGGTGCATGAGTGGAGGAAATATGGCGACCAGGTCTCCCTTTCGTATGAGGTAGTCCCCGGTCTCTGAAGGTAGAGTCAAATCCTCTTGAACAAAACGAATGATGGACGAAAATGAGCACAGTCGTAAAGCCTCGAGAATGGCACTTTCTGAAGGAAAACAAACAAGCAACAGCTTCTTTTTTAAATCATTATTTTAAAATAGCTATTTATTTATTTATTTATTTGTTTGTTTGTTTGTTTCCATCACCATTTATTTCCCCCTATATCCTCCTCCACTTCCACCCACCTCCTTCTCCCTCCCCAATCAGCATACTATTGTGGATGTCCATGAGTAGTTCTTTCTCTTTTCCTCCCTATTTTCCTTCTTTCTTTCTTCCTTCCTTCCTTTCTTCCTTCCTTCCTTCCTTCCTTCCCTTCCTTCCTTCCTTCCTTCCTTCCTTCCTTCCTTCCTTCCTTCCTCCCTCCCTCCCTCCCTCCCTCCTTCCCTCCCTTCTTTCCTTCCTTCCTTCTCTCTCTCTGTCTCTCTCTTTTTTCTTTTTTGCAGGCAACAGCTTCTTAAAATATGACTGTTCCTGTAGAGTGCCCATAATTTACCATTAAAGTTCACCACCGATAGCTTTGATGGAAAAGGAAACCCTTTCCTAATCAGATCACTGAGCACCAGGATGGTGGCCTGGCACGACCAGAGCGAGAAGGGGGCGGGTGAGACAGCTGTGGTATGTCCTCAACACGGCTTGGGGACACTTCACAGACGGGAGCAACAGTGCTGCGCTTGGGCAGAACGTCAGTAGTTAGGATTTTTGTAGGAAGGAATAGTTTACGAGAGAAATGCTGCGTTATGGGCATACCCATTGTAAATTAAAACCACGTCCCAGTTAAACAACTGCTGGTGGGTTATTTCACCAGCCTTCTGAAAAGCTATGCCTTTAAAGCCAGACTGAGGCATTTAATAACCACTTAGGCAGTTAAGAGTAAAGTGATTGTAGTGGTGTTTCCTGAGACAGCTTAACACTTAATTTCTTTTATGCTATCTGTAAATAAAATGTGAGTCAGCATTTACTGGAAAAATTTTAAAGGGGAAATACTTTTACAGGGTTCAGAAGCAAACCCTAATTTCCCTCACTTCCAGGGCAAATAGCAACCATCATCATAACCTGGAAGATTCCAGAAGCTGAATGTCCTTGCTTTCCCAGTGGCCTTCACCTTTTGCTCCTAGCACGACAGATTTTATGGCTAATTTCCGGCAATTTATCCTGGCAGTTTGAGGAGGAATTCCTTTGGGAATAATATGCATAATTTGCATAAATCATTCTGATAGCATGCATATCAGCATGTAGCTCCCGTCTGGGTCTGCATCTCTGCCTTCATAATCAAAACTGACTATGTTTGCACCAGCGTGAATGGGTCCTAGAATATAAAGCTTGCTTCTTCCTAATCAGAAATGTGAAAAAGAGCTCCAAATAGAGTATTTTCCCCCTTCACATGGTAACAAATGGTTGTGTTTATGGCTTATAATGCAGAAACTCTTTCTCTCTCTCTCTCTCTCTCTCTCTCTCTCTCTCTCACACACACACACACACACACACACAGCCCAGTCTCCTAGTGTTCAGTGAAGATCTGAAACATAGGTACCTGTTATTAGATTATAGAAGCAGACTGGTCAGTGAAGGCTTGTTTCAGCCAAAAAATAAAAATAAATGCCACTTCACTAAAATTTAAATCTATGCCTGGCTTGCATAGCGGTATCAAGTAGCTTTGGGTGCCTTCTCCCAGGGGGCTTTTCCTAAGCATGCATTTGCCTAAAGAAATGAGGCTGTGGTCAGCTGTGTGTGGACAGTGTGGTGATTCGATGTGACGTACAGCGAGGCTGCGCATATTCTCCTGGACTGCCTTCGTTATTATAATCAGGCAGAGTCAAATCGGTTTGTTGGTGATGAGGCCGGAAAAGAACTTTGGTTTTGGAACATGAACTCTCCTGCAGATAGCCACAAGGCACCTGACACGATGGATTTTAGCTGGCAGGACACCAGTGACCAACATTTCTATGGTGAAATTCGAGGGTCGGCTTCCCCTGTATGGCTGCTGGCTCTGTTGGGTCAACAATAGCACAGCATCGTTTTAGCTTGTGGTGTGAAATGGTAGCTGACATATGTAGCAGCCTGTTCACCCACCAAGTCCAGTAGGGGTGTGGGAAGAAGAAATACAAAAGCAAAATAATGATGCCATGGCTGCTGTGACAGGACAGGCATTTAACAGTCCAAATAACACGGTCACATCTGATTGGCCGACGTGCTCGGAGGGGTGTGTGTGTGTGAGGGGCGGGGGGAAGCATGGCAGCTTGCGCCCACTGCAGTATCACAAATGACAATTGGGCAAGCATATCTTATGCAGAAGTTAATCACAATAATGGAGCACAAAGTGTGGCTTAGCGGTCAGATCATAAATGACAAATCTGTTTTACCTTCCAGTACCAGTTATGTGTGCAAGACGAGGTTGGCTCTCGCTCTGAGCGATCATGCCGATAATCATTAGACGGCAGGAGTAATGAGTTGCATTATTTTTAACAATGGAGAGCGGGGCTTCTGCGGCTCTGGTTTGCCACAGACAGGCACAAAAGCCAGCAGCTTTCCCACCAGCCCCCGTAAGAACGCAGGCAGAGCTATATGTTGAGAAGAATGACAACTGCACAATAAAAAATAAAAAAAAAATTGCAGCCTCGACTTGTAGTTGTCATAGTTGAGCAGACACCAGCCAGTGCCACTGACAGACCAGCTGGGCCCTGGGAGGGCTTCCATGCTGCACCAGGAGGTACAGTAAATTATCCTGCACGGTAGAGCAACATCTGTTTCTATGCTAGTGCCGAACAAACAAGGCAATTTAAAACATACCAAGGGATAACCAAGCAACAATTGAACATGACCCTCATTTCCACCCCCTCCTCACGCACGAGGTGCTAAACTTTGTTGTGCAGCAAGCACTCCACGAAAGAGAGGCCAGGTTGGTATTTGATAAGGTGTTGTCAGAGGCATTTTACATATTTCCAAAATGGAAAGAAAAAGCTTATAGTATTGTTATTCTTAGAATCTTCCTTCCCCCCCCCTACTATCTTTACTTCTTTTATGCCAAAGCTAGCACTCAGTTCTCAATTCGTTCTAGAATTATAAAAAAAAAAACTTTCCATATACTTATAAATATTCAGTCTTTAAACCTAATTTGCTATACTTAGTTCACATGCCTTCAAGCATTTGTCTTCCAATTTCCACTGAATAAATGCGTACTAATGAGAACTAGAGCAAGCTGCTGAGGCAAAGCTGGGTGACTTGGGTCTGGCCTGCCACCAGCTTGTGATAGGCGGGCAAATTGAGTTAAAATGAAAAGTCTTGTCGGCTGAAATTCAACATGGTAGCCAAACAGCAAGCTGTCAATCATTCCGGGCAAAACAAGGGGCTGCAGGTAATAAAAGGTCATTGTGATCATTAGTGGACTTGGCTTTCATATGCACGTTAATTTTAATTAAACATGATCTCTATCTGTAAATGTTTTATAAAACTTATTGTGCATAATGGATTGTTAATTTATACTAACATTTAGCAGGTAATAGGACCCTCCGCTTATTAAATGCATTGTAGAAAAATGGCTATCAAGAATGTAAATATTTGGGGATAATTTACACCAGGTGCTGTAAGATGCCAACAATGGCAATGGTGATTAGGATAAGGCTACCCTCGTTTTACATATTGAGCTTTACTGACCAGGACACACAAGGAAATTCGGTTACCGAAATTCCCACAAGCAACTTCCAGTTCAGAGCCTGCACTGCCTTCTTCACCTGGCTGGGAAGGTTTGTTTACCTTTAGGATATAAAAATATTCTGATTCAGTATCCGCTGTAGGCAAAAAGCTGGGGACTGTGTCGCGCTAAGATGCTTTACGTACAATGTCAGTGTGAAGAAAAAGGGCAAATGAAATAAATGGTGGTAGGAAAAAGGCACAGACACTTTCTCTTTTGCCCTCAGTTCTCAATTCTGGTTGTAATAATTGACAGATGATTCTCATTTGCAGATTTAAAGTGAGGAAGCAGTGTTGGACCATCAATAATGCATGTTACAAGGCAAATACAAATAGGCACATCCAAGTTTCTGCCTCACACTTAGGCCATGTCTGTGTATGTGGAATGAATGCACTGTGACATGGCCAGGCTGTTAATTTGGGTCATCTTAATGATTGGTGCAGACTGTCATACCATCTGATTAGCCATGGTGATCAGTGGATAGCAGCGATGGCTGGAGTGAAATGAACAGCCAGGCCCTGCCACAGTCTACCTGGGTGATCTTAGGAAGAAGGTAGGTGAGAAGGGAGGGGGATGTGGAGGAAGTGTGCCCTAGAGGGTGTGGGGAAATGGAGGGAGGGTCCAGATGTGTGAGTGATTTTATGCAACTACCTTCAAGACAGATGAGAAGGTAGATCTGAAATTGTAATAATCAGATCATTCAAAGTAAAATAACTAATTTTGGGCTCAACAACGGTATATTTTAAGTATAGTTAAAAATAAATTGGAATTGGTAGAAATGAATGCCTACTTTCACTATGCTTTGCACACATGGCCTTTGGTTTACTGCTAAAATATAGACTTGTGAAGTCAACATTCATATATTCAGTAAACATTTATCCAGGGCCTACTCAGCAAGGCACTGGGCTACTGCTGCTGGTGCGAAATGGTAGCTGACATATGTAGAAAAGAGAGAACACAGCGTGTGGATTTGGCCTTCAAGGCTCCTGCAGTTTAGGTAGTTCACTGCTGGAAAGTATATATAAACAGAAATGCTTCTGAAGATCCTAGTGAAGATATTGTACAATTTCTGATTGGCTATCTCCAATGATGGCATTCAGAAAGTCCATTTTATTAGAGAGGTTTTTTTTGTTTTCTTTTACTGGGCTGAAATGGTCCTTCCTTTCATTTATCCCCTTTAGAAAACCCAAAGGCCAAAAAAAAAAAAAATCTCTCTATATAAAAGGCTAATATGCTAAGTGTCCAACTGTTGGACCGGTAGCTGCCCGATCCCCGCAGGCCAGGCCAAGGGACCCCACCGGTGCACGAATCTGTGCACCAGGCCTCTAGTAAAAAATAAAAATCCTAATTCCTCTTCC